TAATTGATTAATATAAATTTTAATCAATTAATTTATATTCAATTTCATAAACCAAGATTGACACTTAACAATACATCATGGCCACCCAATTGCTAGAAGAGTCAAAGGATTTTTTGACAACCTTTCAATGTACAGTCTATCAATGTAATTCATTCCATTATTATATATCTCGAATATGATAAGAGCTTGGTACAGTGTTTACTTTTATTGACTTCCATATTCATTCATGTTGTTATAGCATTAGCTTTATAGAGATTTATGAAACCATTTTATAATCTTAAAGTCATCTTGACCAAGGATTTTAATAAGCTAATGTTAACCAATAACTGATAGGATATGTCCTCTAAAAACACTTAGGGTGATGTTTCTTATCTTGACCACTCATTTGCCTTCACATGCTTCATATTATACCCAAAATCATTCTATTAAGTCATCCTTGGTTAAGCACTTATAAGGATGAAATTAAAATATAGCACTCCACATATAAGATAACTTGGTGTCTCATGTCTAGGAAGTATTTATGCAACGAACACATAAGAAGTGTTGCATAGACACTGGAGTGTATTAACAAATACAGTTCTCATGGTGGGTCATGTTCAGTGAACTTGCTTTCCTAGGCAAACACCTATATTTTAGTTCTGAGTATCTTTATACTTCAATCTATGAGATTGATTGTTTACTTCCAAAATAAAGAACATAGAATATACATGTCTTTAAGTATTATTAATGTCTAATCTCAATGATACATTAACCAAGAATATTTTAAGATTATGCTTTAATGCATAAGGACCTCATAATTGTAACTCATTATAATTCCCTTACAAGGCATATTAATTTCATAGATTTCATCTAATTAGATTTATAACTTATTATAATTAATATCTTATTGATGAAGAAAAACCTCTAATCATTCAATATGAATGTTATTATTGCATGATTAGAACCAAGCTTTGACCAATCTCAATTAGTTGTAGGCCTTATCCCAATAAAAACTTGGTGCAAAAGGATTGTAATGGTTATTTCTAAATTCAACAAACTTTTCTTGATTAGTTTGTATAAACTATCAGGGATACTAAGAATAGTAAGAAACAACCTAGCAAAAGAAGAAAATGAGGGAAATAGAGAAAAGAAAGGCAAGAAAGCTGCAAAGAGAATATGTGAGAGCTAAGGTGTGTTAGTAACTGTGGTGGAGGCTAATATTTATAAGTTAAGGATAAAAGAGAATCAAGAATAAAATTACAAAAAATCAAGAGAAAATAAAAGAAAAAATTTATAGCATTATACAAGCTGAAAAGAGAAAATGCGAGAGTTGAGGTGTGTTGGGAATTGAAGTGGAGGCTGATATTTATACATTGAGAATAGAAGAGAATTAGGAATAACATTGCAAAAAATCAAGAGATAATAAAAAAAATTTATAGTGTTATACAAGCTGAGAAGATAAGATGTGAGAGTTGAATTGTGTTAGGAACTGAGATGGGGTTGGTATTTATAAGCTGAGGATAGAAGAAAATCAAGAATAATGTTGTAAAAATCATGATAGAAAATTAAGAATAACATTGTTGAAAATCAAGAGAAAATAAAAAAATTTTCTAATGTTATACAAGTTGAGAAGAGAATATGTGAGAGCTGAAGTGTGTTGGGAACTAAGATAGACGTTAGTATTTATAGGCTGAAGATAGAAGAGAGTTAGGAATAATGTTACAAAAAATCAACAAAAAATAAAAAAATTTTATAACATTATATAAGTTGAGAAGAGAAGATGTGAGAGCGAAGGTGTGTGTGGAACTGAGACGGAGGCTAGCATTTATAAGGTAAGAATAAAAGAGAATCAAGAATAACATTGTATATTTATACGTTGAGGATAAAAGATAATCAATAATAATGTTAACAATGTTGCATATTTACAGCTTAAGGATAGAGGAGAATCAAGAATAACATTGTAATAATGTTACGAAAAATCAACAGAAAATAAAAAAAATTATGACCTTATGCAAGCTAAAAAGAGAAGAAGTGAAAGTAGAAATGTATTGGGAACTGAGATAGAGGCTGATATTTATAAGCTGAGGATAGAGGAAAATCAAGAATAACGTTGTATATTTATAGGCTGAGGATAAAGAAGAATCAGTAATAACGTTAATAAGGTTGCGTATTTATAGGTTGAAGATAGAGGAAATCCGAAAATAACGTTGTAGAAAATCAAGAGAATAATGTTGCATATCTATAGGCTGAGGATAGAGGAAAATAAGGAATAATGTTTCAAAAAATTTTATGACGTTATACAAGTTGAGAAGCAAATATGTGAGAGTTAAGCTATGTTGGGATTTGAAGTGGAGGCTGGTATTTATAAGTTGAGGATGAAGGAGAATCAAGAATAATGTTGCATATTTATAGACTGAGGATAGAGGAGAATTTGAAATAACGTTGTAAAAAGTTAAGAGAATAATGTTTCATATTTATAGGCTGAGAATAGAGGGAAATCAAGAATAACATTGCAATAAAGATGCAGAAAATCAAGAGAAAATCAAAAAATTAAAATAAAAAATTTTATATCGTTATACAAGTTGAGAAGAGAAGATGTGAGAACTGAGATATGTTGGGAATTGAGGTGAAGGTTGGTATTTATGGGTTGAGGATAGAGGAGAATTAAGAATAATGTTGCATATTTATAGACTAGGATAGAGAAAATGTGAAGGTTGGTATTTAGAGGCTGAGGATAGGGGAGAATCAATAATAATGTTGCATATTTATAGGTTAGGGATAGAGAAGAATCAAGAATAACGTTACAAGTTTTTATAGGCTGAGGATAGAGTAGAATAAGGAATAACGTATTTATAAGTTGAGGATAGAGGAGAATCTACAATAACGTAAAATCAAGAATAATGTATTTATAGACTGAGGATAAAGGATAGAGAAGAATCAACAATAATGTAAAATCAGAAATAACGTGTATATAGGTTATATTTATAGGCTGAGGATAGACTAAAATCAAGAATAACATATTTATAGGCTAAAGATAGAAGAGAGTCGACAATAACGTCAAATAAATTTATAATCTATATTTATAAGCTGAGGATAAAGTGAAATCAAGAATAACGTATTTATTGGCTGAGGATAGAGGAGAATCAACAATAACATAAAATAAAAAAAATGCATGGAGAAAATCTGCATTTTCTCAAATGCTTGATCCAATCTTATGTGCACATGAGCCCACTTTACTTTCCTCCTTACAATAAACTTATAATGGGTTTGCTTATATAAAGCACTAACATCTTTTGTGCCTAAGAAATGTGGGATATTGAAACCTTATGAAAATCTATATGTCCAACATAAAATACATAATTGAATTATAATTTTACTTCAAGATTAGTGATTTTAAAACTAATTTTTCAATTGTATTTATAACTAATTAAATCTTATAGTTTTGTAGCTGGAAACAAAAAGAAAAGAGATGCAAGAAAGAAATAAATAAGTAATGGAGATATGCACCTGAGCATTTGACTCATTGGTTGGTACACTATCCTCTTGTCTAAAGAGTAAGGTTCGAATCCTCTATCCCCCAATTATATAAAAAAAAAGTAATGGAGATATAAACAATAAATAATATGGAAATAAATAATATAAAATGAAATATATGACATTTATTAGCTCAATAGAGTCTAGTTCCAAAATAAATTTCTTTTTCAAATCAAGTTCAAGTACAAATTAAATAAATTCAATCAAGTTTAAGTTAGTTAATTAGAACATTTAATGAGTTGAACTCGAGGATTTTTCCTATTATGACTCGATTACATTTTTAATCGCGAAGTTTATATATATACATATGTATTTAAAAAACATAATTACGAAGAAAGGGGAAAATTGAGAAAAGAAGTGGAGAAGAACAATCCCTAACCTAAGTCCCAACCTTGCGTTTCTTTTAAAAATGCTATTTTTTGGATAAATGAAGCAACTTTTGTTCAAAGCGAATAATTTGTAAACCAAATATATAGCCTTAAACATCTTTGTCTAGGCAAATGGGATGGCTCATGAAATTGTCAAATCAATAAAGGTTTTGGACATGGAGTAACAGTTGTGGTGGGATTTGAATGATCTTCCTATTAGGGTCCCAACTGTTTTTAGGAATGATGTTATCAAGTAGCTGATAGTTAGATTGGCATGTTAGAACGATTTTT